TAGCATTAACATACCTCACAGAACTAGAGAAAATAATCCTAAAATTCATTCTGAACCAGAAAAGACCTAGAACAGCAAAAGCAATTCTGAACAACAAAAGCAAGGCAGGAGGCATCACAATCCCTGATTTAAAATTATACTACAAAGCTACTGTGATAAAATCAGCATGGTACTGGCAAAAAAAACCCCAAAATACAAAAACAAAAAAACAGACCTGAGGATCAGTGGACTAGAAGATGCAGACATAAGTACAAACACACTCAGCCACCTTATCTTTGACAAAGGGGACAAACATGTTCACTGGAAAAAAGCCTCTTTAATAAATGGTGCTGGAAAAACTGGCTCTCCACATGCCAAAGACTAAAACTAGACCTATGTCTATCACCATGCACTAAACCAAGGTCAAAATGGATCAAAGATCTAAATATTAAAACAGAAACAGTAAATCTAATGGAAGAGAAAATAGGTAGAAATTTTGAAGACATAGGTGTAGGCAGAGAGTTCACGAACAAAACTGAAGCTGCATGGGAAATACTTCAAAGAATCAACCATTGGTATTTCATTCATTAAAAGTGGTTGCACATCAAAATAAATCACCAACAGAGTGAAAAGACAACCCACAGAGTGGGAAAAAATTTTAGCTAATTGTCCTTCAGACAAAGGACTTCTATGTAGAACATACAAAGAATTGAAAAAAAAAACAGATCCCCAAATTCAAAGACCCACTCCAAAAACGGGCATCTGAGATAAACACATGAAAAATTGTTCAATATCATTGGTCATTCAAGAAATGTAAATTAAAACAACACTGAGATTCTATCTCACCCCAGAAAGAATGGCTACTATAAAGAAATCAACCAATAACAAATGCTGGTGAGGCTGTGGAGAAAAAGGAACACTTTTGCACTGTTGGTGGGAGTGCAGACTGGTGCAGCCACTGTGGAAATCAGTGTAGCTATTCCTCAATAAGCTAGGATGAGAGGTCCCATTCGACCCAGCTATTCTCCTTCTGGGTATCTTCCCAGAAGAGTTGAAAACATCATTCCATAGCAATATATGTGCACGCATGTTTATAGCAGCACAATTTGTAACAGCTAAATTCTGGACACAACCCAAATGCCCATCACCCGAGGAATGGATAAGAAAGATGTAGTATATTTATACAATGGAGTACTACTTACCCATTAGAAGGATAAACTGGAGACTTTTATAGGTAAATGGATGCAATTTAAGAGCATACGCATAAGTGCAATACATCAGACCCACATGTGTAAACATGGTACTGTCAGCTGGGTGTGGTGGTGCGCACCTGTAACCCCAGAACTTGGGAGGCTGAGGCAGGAGGATTGCTGCAAGTTCTAGGCCAGCCTGGGCTCCATAGTGAGTTAAAGGCCAGCATGAACTGCATAGTAAGACCCTATGTCAAAAAGACAAAAAGACAAAACAAAGCAAACATTGTGTAGTCTCCCTGGTGTGAGAAATTGAGAGTAAATGTCCAAAATGTATAAGAGATACTGTGAAATAGGAAGAAATTGTTTAAAAGGAAAAAGGAACTAGGATGGGGAAAAGGAAAAGGAAGGGAAAAGGGAGAAAAAAATGCAAGTCAGTTATACTATTAGTGTCTCTTAGTTCATACAAAAGGAAGGTTTGTGTATGGCTTGGAGAATTTTTTATGCCTATATCTCATACTCTGAGTAATTACTTAAAGATAAAAAATTTAAAATATGTAAAAGAAAAAATTTATACTGATCTACTTTTAGACTCATCCCCATAAAACTCTGGCTTAAATGTTAACAATTTCTCAATGTTATTTTCTTTTTTTTCTTGACAATGGGCCTTGCTATGTAGCTCAGGTTGGCCCTGACCTTACTTATACGGCCCAGGTTGGCCTCAAACTTGCAACAGTTCTCTTCCTCGGCTTCCAAGGCATGTGCTGTGGAGGACATTCTACAGATCATCTTTCAATTCTTACCTATTTGGGACTTTGAGCCTGACCAAGCCATAGGATTGTTTGATTCTGGAGGAAGTGCAGCAAAAGCATTAGTGTAAAAGGAAATGACAGCAGGACCATGTCCCTATGCACAGCTGCTGGGACTACACTAGGTGCTTTGCTGAGATATGCCCGATGGAAGGATAACATGATGGGTAAGTCAAGCCTCATTCCTTTGATAACTAAGCTGTATTGTCCTCGCTGATCCTGTTAATGATTCCTCCCATTTGCCCTGTTGCTGCTTTTGTTAGTATCCCAATAAAAGGTTATGGAAGATGGTAATCAAGGCGACAGTCCTCTTTGCCTCTCTTGTTTCTTTTCATTTGCAGGTACCTCGTTCTCGGGACCTGTCACCCCAGACAGAAACTGTACACCGACAGCGCACCACCATGTTGTGTATGTTCCTTCTTAAAATGAGTCATTACAAGGTCCACCTTGTCCGGCCAGTCATTGCTCTGCTCACAGATTCTCACGTTTACTTAACTCTGTGTGTCTGAATGAAAAATATCATTTCTTACAAAGAAACACCTAGAAGTCAAGGCTAAATTCTGATCCTCATGGTGTGACCCTGAGCAAATTAACCTCTCTGGACTTTAATTCCCTTTTAGGATTAGAATAAGTGATATAAAAGATCATCATTATCTAAGAAGCTGTTTCACTTTCAGGGGCATTAAACTCCCATCCGTCTACTCATAACCATAATGGCTGTGTGTGCGCCCTGCTCTTTAAAAAAACTTATTTTCTCGTGAGGAGCCTTTCCTTGTGAGTCCCGTTTTGTGGTGTTTTATTTTGTAGAACAATAACTTTCCAGTTACTGATTCTTTTTCTCCTGAGTTTGTTTCGTTTCATTTTGTGTTTCAGTACTGGGAATTGAACTCGGGTCCTACGCTTGCCAGGCAAACGCTGCACAGCTGAGCTATAGCCCCACAGCATCTCCTGGGTGCTTCTTTTTCTCTCCTCTGGGTTCTGAAGAAGCTGGAGGCGGTTGGTAGTTGTGTCCCACCTTTATCTGCTGCGTCATGAGTTGAGGGCACACAAGCTCAGTCTCCCAGAGGATTGTGTGGCCACTAATGCCTTGCCTGCCTGTCCACATGTGCTGGACACTGACTCTTCCTGTCTTTGTGGGAACAGCTTTCCACAGGACAGGAATTGGCTGCCGATCAATGACTTGTTTCCTCCATCCCACATGGGACAGCCGAGAGGCGTGTCCTTTAGCTGCTCTCAGAACTGCCCAGCAGGATTATCTTCCGGAGTTCAAACTGTTAACATACTTGATTAGGAACACTTCTATTGGTTTTCTTCTATCTGTCCCAATTCCCTACTTCCGTATCAGTGTTTCCTGGTATCACCTCTCAAGTAAACTACTACTGAAACTCGGGCGTTTGTCTGAGTCAACTTCTGAGGGGAACTCAAACCTTTCAGAAGGTAGCGTTTCGTCACACTCCCACTTGAGAAAGTTGGTTCTCTTCTTCATGCTCTTATAGCAGTACATTAAAACTAATTTGCTATAGCTAAACCTTGGAAACCCAAGTGCCCATCAACTGAGGAGTGGATAAAAAAGGTGGTATTTTTATACAACGGAGTATTACTCAGCTATAAGGATAAACTTGAGGCTTTTATAAATAAATGGATGCAACTAGAGACCATACTCAAAGTGAAATAAATCAGACCCACATGTAAACATCATATGGTCTCCCTAGTGTAAGAAAGTGAAGGAATAGATAAGATCCAAAATGTACAATAGATATTGTGAAAGGGAAAGAAACTGTTCAAAAGGAAAGAACGGGGATGGCAGAAAGGTGAAAAGAAAGAGGGGAAATATAAGTGTGTGTATGTATGTGTATATATATATATATATATATACACATATATATACATATATATATATATATATATATACACATACATACACACACACAAAAGATAGCTAATTGTACTACTGGTTTCCATTGATTTACTGAAAGGAACAGTTAATGCTTAATTGTGTGATCAATTTTGCATGCCTATGTCTGGTGATCTGAATTACTGAAGATAACAATATGCAGAATAACAACCATTGTTAATTTCCTAACATCTTGCTTTGAAATTCTGTATAGTTTTTAAAATTTTTTTATTCTTTAAAAAACTTTTAAAAAATAAAATATGTTGAAGATGTTGGGACATTATCTCTTGGGTTAAAAATTACCCAATCTATAATGAGTAAACCTCACTTTAAAGTGTTTCTCTATATAAATTTGGCACTCCACAGGAATACAGAGTAGTCCACTCCACATTGCATCTTTTTTTTTTTTTTTTTTTTGGTCTTTTTTGAGACAAGGTCTTTGTGCAGTTCAGGCCGGCCTTGAGCTCACTTTGTAGCCCAGGCTGGTCTCGAACTCGCAAGGATCCTCCTGCCTCAGCCTCCCAAGTGCTGGGATTACAGGCGTGCGCCACCACGCCCGGCCTTCCACATTGCTTCTTCATTCTTGTGAAAATTATTAGTTTGGGAGGTACTGGGAATCAAACTCAGGATCTTACGCTTGCCAGGCAGGCGCTGTGCCGCTGAACCATCTTCCTTGCCCTCCTTTGAAAATTATTAAAAATATAACAGCCAAAGAAATAAAATAGAACTTAGGTAACACACTGCACTGCTACAATGGATGCTACTACAGTGTTACACTGAATTTAAAATCACTGGCTTGCCAAATGATGAACTGTAAGGCTTTAGTTCACGTGCCAAAAAAATGAGTGCCACTGATCTTTACTTTAGAAACCGCTTTTTCAGTTTAAAGAAATATTCAGAATGGGGTAAGACTCTGCATACCATAATTCCAAGTCATTGCAGAATATGATTATAGGACGTTTTGCAGTCCACAGTAAGGACTCAATTCAATTTCATGATTTTAAATAACCACTGATAAAGGAAGAAATAAAAAAAATGTAAAAAAGTCATACTGAAACAATAAATTAAAATACAAGACAGCGTGTTTTCTAACAGATCTTATCCCCCCAACAAAAAAGCAAAAAAAAGTTAATTTAAATCCACTTTTTATTCTTTCATAGGTTTTTAATAATTTTACACAACTTTTAACATAAAGAGTGAAATCTCAGAGATGAGGAGCCGATATATATGGCCGCATCTATTTGATCTTCGGGATGGAAGGAAATTTCCAAAGAGTACAGTGTGTGAGATTTAACACTGGAAAAATACATATGAAACTTGTTTAACTGGCTGCACTTATGACCTGGCACAGCACAATAAATAGAGAACTGCATAATCTTTTTAAAAGATTGCTTGTAATTTAACACACTCTTTCTACAGAAATACTATCAATTACCAATCTGAAATTCTACAACATGTAGGTGAAGGGACACTTACGATGGATATCTGAGCATAGATTCTCTAGCATCTTCCCACTCATACATCAACATTCTTAAAAGGAAAAAAAAATGTACATCTCAAATTCAGGACAACAAAAAACAAACTTGGTCAATTAGTTTCTTCATATCACTCAGTATGACCACAATCTGTTTGCTGGTAGGTTTAATGTAGGAAAAGAAAGTTTTAAAAATCCTTTTCACTTTCACTAGTTTTAGGGCCTATAGATAGGAAGGAGGTCTCATTAAGCAGCACCATTAGGTCCACATCTTAACAAATCACTGCGTAATTCTTACCTGTCAATATCCTGAAAGGTTAACAAAAACTATATGGAAGAACATTTTTCCTGAATAGCAGTCCACTGCAAAAACACGCAAGATGCAAAAATTTACATAAAACTATATCTGAATTCTCTACTGACTGCATCTTTCTTTATATGACCAAAAGAAATGTATTACATAAAAATTTAAATAATATACTGAGGCATAAAATAAATACTTTTATTTACGGTATAACATTGGTGTATTTGAGATTGTTAGACATGTTCACATGCTCTTCCCTCTCCCCAGAGAGAGCAACAGCGCCAGCAACGTCCACCAAGAGACTTAATAGGAAACTTGATCTTAGAGCTATTCTACAAGTGTGCCTTATTATTTTTAAACATACACTGAAATTATTCTTACGCATATCCTGAAAAGACAGGGTGAAATGATCTTCTCTTTCACATGACCCAGATTCTGTTACCAGTCAATGTAAGCATTAATTTCATTCCCATTAAACGGAGTGGAAACTGTTATGCTGCTATATAGCCATGGATAGTCTGAGGAATTTTCTGAGCCACTGAATGAAAAACCACGTGAAGATAAAACTTTCTACATCTGGCAAACTGGCTGTTCAAATATTCAACAAGAAACATGCAAACATGTGACACGTCAATACTCTGTAAAAACATCGTCCCACTCTGGCCCCAAGAATCGCGACAGCCCACCTGGGTCTTACCGGGCAAACAGCCTTAAACTACTAGTATTATATCTCTTCTCTGTGGCCTTTACTGACTGTCATCCCGCCACATGCTTCTCAGAAGCACAGGCTTATATGATGTTTGAGGAAAAGAAAGAGATATGATGTGGATCAAGTTTTTGATGATTGTTTTAATTATATTTTTAAAAAAGGATTTTCTAGTAATGGAGTATATAATAGTCCTTGATACTGAATTGTTCCTACTTTTAAAAATGATGTTCATCAAAGTTTGACTATCTGGCTCTTTTTCCCACTTTTTTAGAGAGTAATGATTCACCTATTCTGCTGAGCCCCAAAATGCCTGTTTCAAAACAGCACAGTTTCCAACAGTTCCCCATAAATATTCCTGATTTATACTGGAAAAGCTATGCATAATTGGAACATTAATCACTCACTGTTTAAAAAGTATTTCCTGCAAGAGTTACTTAGCAAACGCTAAGCTCCACATGGCCTTACCACATAGATACTGAGTTGTGTCACAAAGTACCTGTCAAAAGGTTTAGAAATCAGGCCTTCCATTCCAAATTCATTGCAAAGAGTGCACATGCAGTAGTCCTGTTTACAATTTAAGGGAGACAAGGAAAGAGAAAACCTAGGACAAGGAGGGTTGTCATCCTCCACACACGTTTACAGTAGTATAGCCACTGTTTATGGTATTTACTACATTCACCACTTCAGGAAAAAGGATCAGGGAGGCCCGTCAAACACTTCAACAAAGGAATGTTTGTTTTATATAAGACCTACCAAATAAACAGCAAAACAAGTAACACACACAGCACTAGTCTCAAAGCTGCACAATAAAGAAGCAAAGCGTTTGAGATGAGAAATTGAGGAAAATATACACATATGAGCTTGCTGAGGACAAGGAGGGAAGAAATCACAGTTCTAGTCTTCAAGGCTACGGAATGCATTCTGCATATCTTCAAGAAGCTGTGCATAGTCGGCTTTGATCTTCGCCTCTCCATCTTTCACTGGATCCTGAAAACAGACATCACACACCCAACTTACTTTGACTTAATAGATTTTGAGCACTAGGTTAAGTGAGGCATACTGGTAAACCACAGGCACTATATCTTTATTTCCCTTTACAGGTTAAAATGTATAAATGCATTCATATTCCAAACAAACAGAAAGAAAACAAAATATCAATTTTGTATTTGCCTGTTAACCACATTTATTGACTAACCTCAACAATATGCATAATTGAATGAAATTATGCAGTATCACATATTAGATGCATATGACTGCCTATGATAGCTGGGAATTAAGTCGATCAAAAGAAGAATTTATGATTAAGGTTTGATACTATAACACTGGGACAGAGAAGTAAAATACAGAAAACAACTTTAAAACCCACCGTATTTACAATCCTTATGAAAAGCAACTTAAGTAATATACATTAAAGAGAATAACATGTCAGGCTCAATGGTAGTGTATTTACCTGGCATGCATGAGGCTCTGGCTTTGATCCCTAGTCTACCCTCCCCCAAAACAAAGGAAGTTACTAAATGTTCCTGGTCTTTGACCCAATCGTTCACTTACAGCTGCTGCAGTGAACCCATAGCATGTGTGTTACTGTGTTTTTCCTTTAAGAAGAAAGATGTTAACATAGTTATTTTTTCTACACTAAAACCTCAGTATTCAGGTTTAACACCAGTACTGGCACTCTGTGATAAATAAGTGGCTGCAAGTTTGACATTTGGTCTCTAAAAGGCTCACCGTCACTGACTCAGAGGAATCTATACTAGGAAAATACACAAAACCGACTATATGATTGTTCACATCATAACTGAGAATTTCCTAAATATGTAATAAGGAAATATTACTCTGTAGCCCCAAATGATGCTATAGAAGAATATTTAATAACAAAAAGAAACACACCTCTGATATTAATTTTTTTTCTGATGTTAATTTGATTCAATGAACATGTAACTAAAAAGATTACACCTTTAATCATATAACCAGAAATTATTATACATCTATTTCTTCATCTTCTTCCTATGAATATATAATTTTTAAAGATAAAATTCAACGTTGATAGAGGCCAAGGATTTAGCTCAGGGGTGCAGCACCTGCCTGGAAGGCGTGAGGTCCTGAGTTGGATGCGCGGTACCTCCCCCTGAAAATTCGATGTACATGTACCATTCCCCACAGTAAAAGTAATTATGTACTACAAGTGTGTACTAATACAAAGTTTTAAAACTTTTACATCAAATTACATGTAGTTTCTTTGGTAAGCTGATTTTTAAGATTTTATGCCATAAGCATTTCTCTATCCCTTTGGAGATTCTTTGGGAAAAAGATACTAATGCTTTCATATATTTTATTTTATGTTCATGCCATAATATGCTATTGGCTCAATTCATTCTTAGATGACATTTAAAAAGTGTAATAAATAACCATTAACATATACCCATATAGAAAGTCTCTGGAATAGGGGTATATTCAGCAGTAGAACTATACTACTATGTGCAAGGTCCTGGGTTCCCAGCACACAAAAAAATCTCTGATTATTTCCTTGGGTCATCTATTTCAAAGCGGAAGTTTTTTGAGACAGGATCTCACTATGTAGTTTAGGCTGACATTGAATTCCTTATAGACTGGCCTTGAACTTCTGGTGATTCTCCTCTCTCAGCCTCCAAGTGCCACCACACCCCGCTAAAATTTTTTTTTTTTGGTTTTCTTTTTCCGGTACCAGAAATCGAACTCACGACCTTGTGCTTACCAGGCAGGTGCTGTGCCACTGGGCTAAATCCCCAGCCCCTCACTGAAATTTTCATACTAAACACTCAGAGCCTTATTCTTAATAGTTGATTAGTAAATTTTCCTGGATGCCATGACTTAGAAATACAACCTAATTCATCAAGTATTTTAAAAACAATCTTGTAATTTGAGTTTCTACTGGCAATTTCACTTATCTATTCTTGTTTTCGAAAGAACAAGAAAGTCACTCAACAGTTAAAAATAAAATCAGGCATAGTGGCACATACTGGCAACGCCAGCGCTCAGGAGTGAGACAGGAGAATCGAGTTTGAGGCCAGACTGGGCCACACAAAGACTTTCAGGTCATCCTAGACTACAAAGGCAGACCCTGTCTCTAAAACGAAAAAAAAGTAATAGCTGGTATCTAAAAGAAGTAAACAAAACAGACGTCATTTCAAAAGAATATGAGGGCTAAATGTTAATAAGTACTTAAGGTAATTGCTGTTCAACAAAGAATTTAGCTTTAAATTGCCTGCCAGCTAAGACAAAAAAAAAAACACGTCAGCACTCACTTTAGACGTGACATACTATAATTTTTATGACTAGAACGCCTGTTGAACATAACTTTGAGGCCTTTTCTGGTTTTACATAGCCTGAGTGTGAGTGAAAGTGACAATTTCAAGTTTCATACCCCAGCTCTAGAATTCAAATAAAAATAAAGAAACATTTCCTACTTTAAAAAGTCAGAGCAGAAACACAACACACCTTGAATTTCATGGAGGAAAGTTTGTAGAGGATCTCCCCCATGTGCTCACGGATAATGGACCATGTGATCTTACTGTCACTCTGGGCAGTGGTCTCGACAGCTCTACGAGCCATGTCATAAAATGCAATCATGTTGGACAGCATCCCTACTGTCTTGTAGAATGGGCAGAACCTGGGGCAAATGAAGGTCACAAGAGTTAGCAAAAACAAACCCCAGAGCAGGTTCACATTTACACAGATACAACTTTAGGTATAAAGCACCAGGGCATCAGCTTCTTCCTTTAAATATCCAGACTGCTTATACTTACTGGGTGATACATAAAGAATAAAACAAGAGAAGGAGAAAACAGTAACTGCTCAGTGAGGGTTTAGGGACCAAGACATCTCAATGTCTATGGCCTGGGGTGAGTGGATAGACATGGAGCTATATATTCCTTTTACTTGTTTTAAGGATAGTGTTTATTTTTCTCTGTTAAAATCATGTAGGAAGAACAATGAAACAGTACTGCCGCAATACCCCAAATTTCCAAGGGTTGGTTTTTGTACAATGCAGTTAAATAAGTAATCCAAATGGTAAAGTAACTGAGTTGTAAAGACTCCTTTGTGATAGTGGTTAAGGTTTAACGAACCACAGGAAAGCAGGAAACTGCAAGTTATTAATGTTAACAGTAGCTCTTATCCTTCTAATGTTGTCATTTTTAATTACCCACACATTTTAATAACAAAGATGGATACATATGAGCAAATACTCAGTCACACTTGTTCTCATCGACCTTCTGATATGTTTAAGCATCTGCAAGTAATTTCACACACTCTCCTAAAACACCCTTTCCAAAGGAGTCTCCCTTCACTGAATTATGTTTGTATGGGTGGCTGGTTCCTAGAGTTTCTTAAAGTCCTCATATAGCAGATTTCTGAAGCTTAATGACATGTTGCCACACTTTCTCCTTGCCCTACATTTTGGTTAACTCTTCTGTTGGTTCAGTTCTCTTCTTATATGGAATCAAATATGATGTGATAGAGAAAAGTAGCCCAAGACGAAAGGGTTCAAATTCTCAAAGTTTAAAAGAAATGGGAATGCTAAGCATGCCACAACAGTAGCAGAAATAATAATGAAGAAAGCCAGCACTGGGGAGGAGTGGAAAGAGCTGGTTGGGGGATGTAACAAGAAATCTGCTAGGAAAAAAGAGACACATGAGAACTCTGGGGAAGCAGGAAGAAGAATGTGACTGTGTAGGCAAATGGTAAAGGAGACACGCGCAGTGGACACTGGTAGTGAGAGAAAGCTTCTAAAGGAGGCAGTGACGCCCAGGCTCTGCAGACTAAGCCGTAATTGAGTGTAATTATAGATGGCCGTGTGAATGACAACACGGTCATAATTTGCCAAATGAGCAAATCGAGACAAGGAACATATTACATCATTAGATGTCTGCTGTAAATATATCAGGGAAGCCAATATATTGAATTAGAATCTGTCTGTATGAGGGGAAAAAGTTTTAGTGGGTAGGCAGCTCCTTTGCCAAAACACCATCGAAAATCCTCAAATAAAAAAGGAAATCAGTCTAGTTTACCTGTCATAAGGAGTATACCCGTTTTGTTGCAGGAAGTCATCTTTGATGAGTTTTGCTACCTCCAGAGTGATTTTATCTGTTTCTGCTAATGAAGCCTAGGAGAGAAAATTAGAAATTTACTTTCATGATGTGGGACCAATGCTGACAATCAATTAGCAAGCAGAAATTATATAATCAATATATAATCATCCATCAGTAATAAATTCACTTTATAATTTTTTCTATTTTAAAGAGAAAAAATAACAGAAAAACAACAAGGACAAAACCAAAACAACACAAAAACAATAAAAATGACACAGGATTTCAAAACAAGAATTAACAATGGATGGTATAAGCCGGGTGAGGTGGTGCACACCTGTAATCCCAGCACTCAGGAGGCTGAGGCAGGAGGATCATTGCGAGTTCAAGGCCAGCCTGGGCTACAAAGTGAGCTCAAGCCAGCCTGAACTGCATAGTGAGACCCTGTCTCAAAAAGACAACAAAACAAAGCAAAAACCAATGAATGGTATATTACATATTGTTATCTTCAATGTAGCTGCTTGGATTACTAGATGTCAGAATGCAAGACTGATCAAACATGCAATGTAACAACCATTGTTGAATTCCTACCTCTTGTTTAGTGAAGCTCTGTATCGTTTCTAGTATTTTTTTATAACTGATTTTTGACTGTTCCTTTCTAATTGTGACAAAAAGTATACAATTCACCATGTGAACTACAAGAGTACAGTTCAGTAGTGTTAAGTATATTCAGATTGTTAGAAAGAGATCTTCAAAATATTTTGCAAATCTGAAACTCTATGTCCATAAACAGTAACTCTACCACTCTACATTTCTGTGATTTGACAGCTCAGATTCTACATATAAGTGAAATCGTACAGTGGTTCACTGATATGCCTGCTCTATCTCACTTAGCGTGGCATCCTCACAGTTCACCCACACTGGGTCACTTTCACTCTTGACCATTCCCAACAGTGCTGCTCATAGCACAGGTGTGCAAACTGATTAATACTCTTTTTTTTTTTTTGAAATACTCCCAATTCTGGCTTGCTGTCTTAATAATTTCAATTCTCAGTGTTGTGTTTTGTAGTGCTGGGGATTGAACCTAGGGGTAGAATACCACTGAGCTACACCCCCAACCTTTTTCAGACATCTTGCAGAACTGTCCAGGCTGGCCTTGAATTTGCTGTTCCCTTTCTTTAGCTTCCTTAGTAATAGCTGGGACTTGGGGTGTGTGCTATCACACCTCACTGAATTCTCAGTTTTAAGTCTGTGTAATAGCAGTCTATATAGCCTATCAACCACTAATTTTTTTTAAACAGTACATGTTTCGAACTATGAAGGACAGCGAACTTGCACTTATTTCTGAGGGCTGTTTTACTGGTATAGCTAAGTTACAGGCTTCTCTCTTTAAACCTCACTGCTTCCAAGTCCCTAACTTTTGCAATCACTCGGTCAGCCTTGACAGACAGTACCACACTGCTGATCAGCTCATTAACAAGTAAAGGTTTCTTGGAAACTGTGAGGAAGGGACAGAACCTATGAGTTTACTGTACCATAGTAGTATTTATTTGTACTATGCTCCTTAGGTAAGAATCAGATCTATTTCTTTTCTTTTTTATTTTTACTTATTTATTTTAAAAATTTCATTGATCGACTGTCTTTTTGAGACAGGGTCTCGCTACATGGTTCAGGCTGGCCTTGAGTTCACTCTGTAGCCCAGGCTGGCCTCAAACTTGCAACATTCCTCCTGTCTCAGCCTCCTTCAGCCTCCTTCGCGTTTGGATTACAGGTGTGTGCCACCATGCTCAGCTTTTGAAAAAAAAAAAAATCCCTTTATCTTCATTCTCTTTGTTAACCACAGATAAATATTAAAATAGTTTATGTGTTTTTATTTATTTAAATTTATATGAAATGTGTATTTTACTTTGTGCAGCTTGTATTTTTCGTGATGCAAAACGTTCTTATATCTGTTGCTTCCTTTTTAAGATCCACCCTCCTTGCTGTGTGCCACATAATTTGATGCTTCTTGCTCATGTATAATTCATTTTCTGAGGTGGCCATCTTCCATACTTTACCTTCCTTTTCCTGCCCCTAACTGAGGGCAATCCAATTCCTCTAATTCTGCTACCGTAAATGTGCGCCTAATGGCTCATCCCAGAATTTCTTGGAAGATAAATACCCCAAGCCAAACTACTAGGTCTCAGGGTATTAAAACAAATCCTACCAGACAGTTTTCCACAAGGGTAGCACCAGCTGAGACACCGAAAGATGAAACTTCTGTCTCTCTATCCCAACACTTAAACTATACCTAGCTTTCCAATTTCTGCCATTCTCACCAGTGTAATATGATAAGCACTGCTGTCCAGACACTTCCCACAGGACTGTAACTTTTTGGGTTGTTTCTTCTGTAACAAGTTTGTTCTTTCCTTTGCCTACATTTCTCTAGTATTCCAATCTTCCTGTTAACATAAATCTTTGTACATTTTCAATAGCATCCCATTAGTTTTAGCTGCAAACTTTCTCTTCAGTCTGTCATTGGTTTACTAACTTAATCCATGGCTAGGCCTCTGCTGAACAAAAATCCTTATTTTAAAAAATAATTGTTTTTAGCCTGGTGTGGTGGTGCACATCTGTAATCCCAGCACTTGGGAGGCTGAGGCAGGAGGACTGCCCTGAGTTCAAGGCCAGCCTGGGCTACATAGTGAGTTCAGGGGATAGCAAAACCCTGTCTCAAAAAACAAAACAAAACAAAACAAACCACAATCCATTTTTCCCCTCCTTTGATTTATTTACGTTTCAATATCTAGAGTCCATATATATCCACGTCTGCCACTGTTCTGTTCCACTGGTCTATGTGTCTGTTATTTTGCCAACACTGGTTTTTATTGCTATGGTTTTGTATATAATACCCAATAAAGGAAAGGCTCCTTTTACTTTTTTTTTAGGTTGTGATTCTCCTATTTTCTAGTATTCCCAGTACAGACACACTGTCTTGATGTGTGTTTGTACTGAATCAGGACGCCTCAGCAAATGCTTTATCATTATTTCTGTTTCCCTAGCAGTTGTTATTTTTCTGGTTATGAGCATATAATCTATAAATCACGACACTTCACAACTTTTCTTATTGCCTTTCTTACATCTTTGTTCAGGAACTCTTTTCAACCAAACATAATGATAGCAGGCATTCTTGTTTTCCTCCTGACCTCTAAACGAATTCTCCAGGAAGTGACATGTTTTTCTTAGGTTTTGGTATCTTTCTTCTATTGTTTTATTTTACTAATTTTTTTGTGGTAATACAAACTGAACTCAGAGTTGCTCTCTCACTGAGCTGCAGCCTTGTCCCACACCCCCTTTTGAGAGAGGGTCTTGCTATGTTGCCCAGGCTGGCCTTGAATTTATAATCCACCCACCTCACCCTTTCAGGTAGCTGGGATTAGAGGCACGTACCACCACACCTGGCTTATTTTTATTTTCTTAAAATAGAGTCTTGCTTTGTTTCCCACACGGATCTGGAATTCCTGGATTCAAGTGATCCTTCCTTCATGTAGCTGGGACTATAGGCACATACTCTCATGTCCAGATTAGTAATTACTTTAATAAACTAAGAAAGGTCCTTTCTAGGCCTTGTTAAAAGGTTTCAAAAAATCATAACAAAGTAGCAAAATTCAAATACTTTTTCCATGTTGATTGAAATATCCTTTTTCTGTTACATTAATTACACTGTTGAATTATGTTTTCTGTGTTGAATAAGATTTGCATTCCTCAGATAAACCTTGCTTATGAAATACTATTCTATTTTTTAAATATCTTACTGGGTATAGTAAGCAAACATGTAACATTTTTATATCTACATTAATAAGCAAAATGAACTTATAATTTTCTTTTCTTGAATTGCCTTTATCTGGTTTCGCAGGTTTTCAGTTTCTTGTTATTCTTGGAGGGCCACAGTACTCTATAATAAATATTTGATACACATTATGCATGTTAACTCTCTACTAATTGCCTGTTCTATGGAAGAAACTTAGGAGGTATGTTTATCAGATATAATAAAAAAGAATAAATCAGATAAAGAACTGTCTCTGTGAAGTCACTGAATTCTGAGATTTAATTTGGCTAAAATTTTATTTTATTTTACTTGCAGTACTGGGGATTGAAACCAGGGCCTTGTATACACTAAGCTACATTCCCAGCCAGTTTGGATAATTTTACCATCTTCCTGTGAGGCATCAAGGAAGTCACCGTTGAAGCCACATAGCTAATTACTGGAGAAACTAGAATTTAACCCTTCTGACTCCTTGCCCTCATCTCCTGCAGTTAACAGACCCTAACGCTACCACCTCTCATTTGGCTGGTGATAGACACATCTATTTCTTTTTTTTTTTTGGTACTGGGGATCAAACTTAAGACCTCATGCTTGCCAGGCAGGTGATACACCACTGAGCTAAATCCCCAGCCCTTAGATACATCTATTTCAAGAATTAAAAGAAAATTAAAGCTTTCTTCTTAACTACAATACATCCAGGATCATGCTAAATGCTTTAGAAGAATAAAAATTTTTCATTGGTTTAAAACATTTGATATTGATTATATGCTAACATTTCAATTTAAATTTAGTAATTATTCATTTTGTTAGACAAGCACCTGTATTTCCAAAGTTTTAGCTCTCTTTATATACTCCCCTGTAGCCAACAGATCTGTCCTACATGAGCTTTAACAACTTACCTTTCCCACAAGCTGCACAATTTCTGCCAGGTCTTCTTCTTCCTGCAGAATTTCCTTAGCTTTGGTCCTCAGAGGAACAAACTCGGTAAAGTGTTTGTCATAGTACTCATCCAAGGCCCGCATGTATTTGCTGTAGCTGATGAGCCAGTTGACCGAGGGGAAATGCTTACGTTGAGCCAGTTTTTTATCTAAGCCCCAAAACACCTGATTTAAAAATAACCCCCCCAAAAAGATTTTTCTTGAAATTTTTTCAAAATATATTTGTTCTGAACATGCAATTTTATAATTTACTTGTCAAATTATACATCTTTTTTGTATATACCAAGTGTGATTGAAAAAATAAAACTCATAGGAAACGTTAATTAAAAATATACTCTCTCATTTTCAGGGTAAGTATCATCTATAAATCAAATTCAAATTTTTTCTGAATTTCCTTAATTGTGTGCCAAATGTGACAGCAAAAAGGAAAACTGGTATTTATTTATTTTCAGACAAAATCTCACTAGGTAGTCCAGGCTGGCCTCAAACTCACAATCCTTTTGCCTCAGCCTTCTGAATGCTGGGACTGCAGGCATGTGCCAACAGACCTGCCTTGAAAGAGACACTTTACTTTGATTAAAAACCTTTCCATGTTCTGATTAAATTCAGTTCCTTATCATTAAGGGCCGATCCAGTAAGATTTGACATTCATTTTTCTTACGTCACACATTCACAGATATTTTATGTATTCCTAACTTTGTGCCACCTTACCCCAAAATTTAAAACTCAAACTTCTCACAAATGTTAAAGAATTCAAAGTTGCAAATTTAGCTTCTGCTAAATTTTATGTGATACTGCCAGAAAGAGGTAAATGTATCAACTTTTTGTAACTATACCTTCTTTTTTTTTTTTTTAACTAAGTCCAACACACCCTTTATTGAAGCCTCTTTTAAGCACCAAGCTGGCTAGCCAGCCATTAAGTCATAATGTGTCTTACAGAAGCAACTACCTAGGCACAAACTACATTTCCAGTCTTGTTTCCATCTGGGATAATTAGCAGAATGTGTGGAATTACTGAGTCACGGCTGGGCTCATGGGTCCAGAAGTAGACGTGTCCTTTCCACTGCTTGCCCTCCGTCAGCTAGATAGAGGATTCCGAGATCAAGTGATGGAGGAGCCACAAAACAGAAGAGCTCGGGTTTCCAGCATGATGAATGAACAAAGGACACGTCCCAACAGGGTCGCCCGTCCTCGGCCACACTATGCGGAGGAATAAACTTCTAGACTTTTGCCACTGCACAGTATTGGGCCCACTTGTTTGTTTAAAGAATAGGATAACTCTGGCTGCATTTGCTAACTAGATGTATTTTCCACCTACATGTGTAGTTTATTATAAACTGGTTAAAAGCCAACAAAAATCAGACAGTATTAAAGGCTCTTCGTTTTCAGGATGTTCCTAAAACACGATTTATCAGTCTACTCATTGGTGATTAAATATGTTATGATGATTTACACGATATTAGAACAGCCGAGGGGGGCTTAGAAGTTAACTACAGTAGGAAAAGACATACCTGAACAATGCCAAGAGTAGCAGATGTAACTGGATCAGAAAAATCACCACCAGGTGGAGAAACGCTAGATTAAAAAAATATACATATTATTAGGAATGCTAATGAAAAAATGTATATGAAAGTCAATTTTGAAAGTCAATGAAAATAGCAGACATTAAAATGCTTAAGAAAAATACATATATGAAAGTTAACATAAATAACATTCACTCATTTATTCATTTTTGGTGCTGTGATTGAACCCGTTGCCTTGTGCCTGGCAACCACATGTTCTATCACTGAACTATACCCCTAGCATAAATTTTTGATATAAATAACTTTAGAAACGAATGACCCTTGGAAAGAAAGGTATTACATAAAATTCTTAAGCAAAAGCCACTACTATGCTACAAATAATAACAATTATTTTTACTCTTATTTTTTTGAGACAGTGTCCTGCGATGTTGCCAGACTAGCTTTGGGAATTCATAATCCTCCTGTCTCAGCCTCCAAGGTAACAGGAATTACAGGCATGCACCACTGTGCCTCGTTTAAATATGATTACTGAATACTTTCTACCATAAGAAATGAGACCATTTTTATTATAATCAGTTTCATTATTTCTAATCAAATAAATGAAGCAGGGGGCTGGGGATTTAGCTCAGCGGCAAAGCGCCTGCCTGGCAAGCGCAAGGTCGTGAGTTCGGTTCCCGACACCGGAGAAAAACCAAAAAAAATAAATGAAGCAGGATGAGAGGAAAAGCTCAAGTGCAAAGTAAGGCTTTAGGTGGTAACTGTGAACCTTTCCTTTGTTTCTACCACGATAGATCCTCACCTGAGCAGGTCTGTCACTTTCTACCTCACTCCTAAAATGTTGTGACTTGAACGTAATAAATTAGTGAAGCCCTAGCTCTGGAACCTGAGCACGCACAGCTCCTTCAAGCTCTGTGGGTAGCACTGGAGTACAGCTCCGTAAGAACCTCTGCTCCTGGACAAAGTTAAATATCCCTCTTTAAAATAAATGACTTCTAGCTTTGCGCAGTGGCAGTATGACAGCTAGTGAGGTTTATCTGAGGTGCGAGTGTTGCTAATTGAAAAAAATAGATAAAATAAGTGACTTTTTTCCTTTGAAAAGTAAACAGTGCGGATGCTTACGCTCCTACAATGCTCACACTCCCTTCTCTCTCAGGATTTCCAAGACACTTTACTCTGCCTGCTCGCTCATAGAAGGAGGCCAGCCGGGCACCAAGATATGCAGGATATCCACTATCTGAAAGAAGAAAAGAAATTTTCAGCAGGGTCTAGTTCAGCAACCTAAGTCCTATCAGTACTGCTTGTGTGGTAAGTAACGCGAAGACTTACCTGCAGGCATTTCAGCGAGGCGACCAGAAATTTCCCTAAGGGCCTCAGCCCATCGGGAGGTAGAGTCAGCCATCATGCTGACGTGGTAACCCATGTCCCGGAAATATTCCGACAGTGTAATTCCTAAAGCGGGAAGAGTCACACAGTTACAATGTTAGAATACACAATCCTAACTCTTCAGCCTCAAGAAAACTTTTTTTTAAGTTGTTTTAAACAACTTATTCAACTGAAATGGACTTCCGTTTGTTTTGTTGTTTTGTTTTGTTTTTGCTTTTGTTTTAGTCTTTTTGAGACAGGGTCTTGGTATGAAATTCAGGCTGGCCTTCAGCTCACTTTGTAGCTCAGATTGGTCTCAAACTCGCAACGATCCTCCTGCCTCAGCCTCCCAAGTGCTAGGATTACAGGCATGTGCCACCACACCCAGTGGTACTTCCATTTATTTTGCTACATCTTTTCCCCAAGGTGATTTACAGGATCTTCAAGCCAATATAAATATTTCATAAATATGGGGTTATCTGGCTATACTGCTACACAATACCTCAGCAGTATCTTTCTGCAAGAAAAACACTGAAGAGTAAAGACCTGACGTAATTAACTAGGTGGGATGAAAATCGGCTCCAGATACTTGTTTCTGAGGTAAATGCACCCAACACACCTGTTCAATTAAGAAAACGATCCTTACAACACAGGATGGTTTTTTCTGTTTAAGTGGGGCCTAGAACACCAAGGGGTAATTAGGCGCTGAATGGCAGAGCTCCATCCCCAGCTTATGCCATGAATTCACAGGGAATAGGTTCCAACAACTCAGGCTCCTTCCCATTGGTTCTCACAAAGTGTGCTTCTCTGGGCAGGGCAGGCTGGCGCTTCAGTTGAACCCAGTTTCCTTTCTCTTTGGCTTCCTTCTTTTTCTGATCATTTTCCTTGACACATTTCAGGAAGCTGTCTCGACTCTTTGAGTGCTTAATATGCTCAATGCGCACATTAATCCTCTTGGCAAGAATCCTGCCCTTCACTTCCTTGTTTACAACAATGCCCACAGCATGCTGGGTAGCTCTGTAGACTCTTCCTGTTTTTTGCCATGGTAACATTTGTGCGGCGTTCCTCTCTGCGCAGTACCCATTCCCTTGATGTCTACAATATCACCCCTTTTGTAGATTCACACGTACGTAGACAAAGGAACAACCCCATGTGTTCTAAAAGGCCTAGAGAACGCATACTGGGATCCCCTCCTCCTTCCCTTTGTGTTCGTCATTTTGGCAAATTACTGGAAGATGGCGGTTCCGGCCGAAAGGCTCAGGAAAACTTTAAAGCATCAAGCAGAAAGACTCCAAGCTGCTCCTTTTAGCCTGAGCCCTACCCCAGAATGATAAAGAGCTCCCCAACCATTTGAGGTAAGTATCTATTACAGGACGCAATTACACGTGTGGAATTATCTGACACCCAAGTCTAGCCTAACCTAATACTTTTTCTCCTACGCTTTACTGAAATGATTCTAAAATTAATTTCCAAATATAGCTCATACATATACCCATATACACTCTTAAAAATTCAACTAATTAGCTTGTTCAGTTATCTTTTAAAGGAAAAAATAAAATGGCTGCTAAAAAATTCAGCACTTCATTATGTGTCATATTACATCATTCAGAATAAAAAACACTAACTTCTGAGACTTCCCTAAAATGGTTCCATAAACAAAATACTTAAGAAACTTTACTTATCAATATTAAGGCTTTAAAAACCACAACCGTCATCACATATTTCAATCTGCTGATAAGAACAAATCCTCTCTTTACAGGCATGGCTGTGTTTCAAGTCTGTGATGAAACAGCACCCTTACTTGCATGTTTATATCAGAGAGACTTGGAACAAAAGACAGACACACATGAGTAAACGAGACCTCTCTCGTTGACCTACCAGACATCAGTGTCTACAAGAAAAAAATACCTGATAAAATTTAAAAAAAAACCTTGGAAAACACATTTGTACTTTTGATCAACAAACGACAAATTCTTTATTAATCAAAGGACTTCTACAAATCTCTATGAAAAACATTATCATCCAAAAGGAAAATGTACAGAAGGCAGTTTGCCCCATCTCCTTTTTCTTAAATTTTGAGATAAGATTTTACTAAGTTGCCTAGGCCGGCCTTAAACTGTGATTTCCTGCCTCAGTCTCTCTAGTAGCTGGGATGACAGGCAAGCACCATCAGGCCTGGCCAAGGCAGGTTTTATATAGTTAACATACAGGAAAGATTTTTGTTTTGTTAGGAAATACAGACTGGAAAGGTAGCTAATAAAGCAAGAATAGTTAAAATGTCAGCTGTGAAACCTAGATGCTAAGTACATGGATATCCAGTGAAATATTCCTTCAACTTTATATGTTTGATAATTAGCCCAAGAAAATATTTTCAAAATCTAGCACTGGTGAAGATGTGTAGAAACAGACACTCTTGTCCAGTTATCTCTTTTGAAGAGCTATCAGAATTTAAACTTTACATACATAGGTCTATTCTTAGGAATTATTTTTCTAAAAACTTGCTCTACAAAAAATGTGCAGAGAAACAAGCACGCACACACACACACAAATAACACTGTAAAACACTTGCACAAGGATGTTTTAGTGCTGCTCTGTTTGTGATAGCCGAAAACTAATTAATGCCAGATCTACCTAAAGAATCTGGCTACAGATTACGCTACATCCTCAGAAAGGGGTACTACTGTGCAGCCATTTAAAAGAATAAAGTAGATTTGTCTTAAGATGGCAGATAAATATATCATTTTTCCTCTTCATAAAAATTACTAAACAAAGAAAACACAAAACATGGAAATATAAACTCAACCGCCAAAAACTAAAAGATGCATTTAGCTACGCGACAAAATACCGAAGAAAAAAAAACCGAAGAAAAAGGCACCTAAATGACAGGAAAACCAAAGAAGGGCGTAGGGAAACATTAAGACCTAATCTGAGGCAGTGCAAGTCAGATGAAGCTCACGCAAACCAGCACATACATCCCAAGAAGCAAAAGCAGGAATCTTTTGGAACCATAAAAAGCTACACGTCCTGTGGAAGGAGTTCCGGGGTCCACTTTGGCACGGATGAGAAGTAGGGAAATGGAGGTGAGTTAATGCACACAGGCGCATCCTACTCACTACATAAAATGCGGCTGAAATGGAACAGGAAGAGCTCACTCCGGATGGCCTTGGAAGTACTCACTTCTGCTGGCAGGGAAAGTAAACAGTAAGGTCACTTATCAGTACAACTGCACCCTGTGACAACCTCGCAGCTTACAGTGCAGAGTCCCCGCTACCCTAGAGGGAAGTCACAGTCAGCTGCCCCCATCTCCTACACAGACAGTAACAGTAACAACAGTGTCAGTACAGAATATCTAAAGATAAAACAAGAAAAACGAAGGGAGTACTGGGACGCCCAAGAACATATCAAGGAAAGACGAAAACTGTAACCATACTTATTTACAACAGCGAACATTAACAATGCACTCTATCATAAAGGCCCAAGGACTACCTAGCCAGATAAGAGATGTTTCATGAACTTGCAGAACTCCACAAAGGGCTAAAAAAGACAGAAAACTACTAGAGAAATGAAGGTTAAACATCACTTAACCTGTGTACATAAAAGGCTAAATAAAAAGGACTGGAAAGGAACTGATACATATGGAAAACATGAAAGCGATCCATTATGTCTACTTGTTATTTTAAAAAGATAGCTAAAATGGACAAGAAAAAATTTCATACAATTACTCAAAGTCTTCTGAAATGTAAGACATACTCACAGATTAAAAGAGTACACCATGTCTCAGGAAATACATATTGAAACTATTAATACTGAGATATATCCTAAAATTTATGAGAATTCAAATTTTAAGAAAAATTCCTTTGGGCAAAAGGAAAAATCACTTCTTAAAAGAAAGTAAGGTTAGGTTCAAATCTCTTCCCAACACTTAACAGTATAATACTAGTTCACAAAGAAAGAACTATTGATCCAAGAATTTTATACTTAGCCAAACTACTGTTAAAGCTTAGATAGGCTGAGGCGGGAGGATTGTTGCAAGTTTGAGACCAGCCTGGGCTACAAAGTGAGCTTAAGGCCAGCCTGAACTGCACAGTGAGACTCTGCCTCAGAAAGACCAAAAAAAAAAAAAAAAAAAAAACCAACAACCCCAAAACAACACTTAAATAGGCATTATTTCCATTTCATAAATAAAATCCAGTATTTTATGAAAAAGGAAATACTATGTAAACTAGTAGACTATAAACTGTATGAAAATTCACATATATGCTCTATTTATGTTTTATCTGTTTTATATTTCTCCTAATAAATGAAAGTCACCAGACCACAAGAAATACTGATCCAAGAATTTTTATTCAGCCAAAGTACTATTAAAGTTTAAAGGCAAAAGAAAAAACAAAAAGAAAAACTTTAGAAGAAACAAGAATTGAGGGAACAAAGTTTCCGTGTGCCTTTCTTGAAGAGACTTTCAAAGGGAAAATTTTAGCTAAAGAAGAAAATATGGAGAGAGTGTGGCCAAAAGAATGCCAACGAGAGTTTATTCCATCTTACAGCAAGTCTAACGTTAAATCAAATATTGGCTTGTTCCAGAACAGAATATAGTCTTAATAAATCCTAAAGATGTAGAAATAAAAGTACTAAAAGCTCCAAGTGGAGTGGAAATAAAACCGGAAAATGTATAAACGTAGCAATTTTCTTGTCTTTTATACCCCCAATTAACGCATAATATTTTAAAGCTGGTAATTCAAGTTACAGAGGTACAAGAATATTTAAAGATAGGTCAGTAGCAAAATATGCGATGAAAAGGGTACAAAATACATCACCTTATGGCCATTATAGAAGATTGGGACAGTTTTATAAATATTTTCTGTTCACTTATTCTCAAGATAAAGTATGTATACTATTTCTTAAAAACTAGGAAACTGTTGGTGTGGAAGCACTATGGCATACAAGAGGTGTCTTGGAAAGGGAAAGTCCGGCACTACCTTTACCCTTAAGAACAGCTTTAACTGCTTTTATTCTAATTCCCAACTCACCAGTATAGATAGAAGCTTCTCTAGCAGCAACAGGCATATTGGAGGTATTGGCTACCAAAGCTGTCCTCTTCATAATCGACTCCACCTTCCCATCCACTTCCATCGTGAGCTGGAGGTAAAGAACGCATTAGTGACCCTCCACTTTCTAAATTTAACATCTCAGTTCCTTTTTTTTTTTTTGCAACTTATCCATACTTAATCCCTCCAATCAGTATTCCCAAAGCAATATTCCCCATCACTCCATCTCTCTGCCTACTCTACGGTAGATACACAGTAGAAAGTGGATCTAATTTCCATTTCATAAATAAAACTTATTTTAGGGAATAGGAAATGTTATTATAGTAACCCAGCAGTTCACAAAGCCTTTGAAAGTTCATGTATAAACATTTTGTTTGTCTTCTCTTTCTCCCAATACTAAAAGAAAAACACAAGAGAAACGTTCAAGTGTTTGCCTTTGAAAAATTCAAATTCTTTCCCTTAAATATACAAATTAATCATAAAAATTATTTAAATTCTTTAAAAGGTCCTTGACAGATGAGAGCATTGCTCCAACCCAACAAAAAGTTGCCAATGAAAACTGACATGCGTTATTTCCTCCAGAATGTTACTTCACGCTTTCCAAATACAGACCTCTGGGAAGTCTCGGAGAACTTCAGACATCTCGTTTCCTCTTTCACCGCACCCTACGTAGATGATCACATCACTGTTAGAATACTTGGACAGAGACTGTGATATTACTGTTTTTCCACAGCCAAAAGCCCCAGGGATAGCAGTCGTCCCTCCCTGTACACACCTAAGCAAACAACAAAAAAAGTAAGGATTACTTTACTTGCTAATAAATACTATTAAATAAAGTAGGTAAGCAACAAAAAATACAAGTTAAGCATGCACTCTAATGTATACACACGTACAAGGTATACAAAAATGTAACTGCTTCCTTAGTTTGCACCTACAATACTGCATACTTTTATTGTATTTATCATCTCTAATAGTTGAAAAGTGAAAATATCTTCCATAAGGCACAAACAAAAGGATATAAAAATAAGATAAAGCAATATTAATGATATTCTGCATACTTATATGTATATTTCTGTAAAGACAATAGAAGAACTAAAACTAAAAGAAAACTATAAGCAACTTTGGAAACTTGCCTACCGAGGCAAAAAATAAGAGCTAGAAAATGTGTAGCTTTATTATACACAGCAAGGAACAGTTTTATTAAGGCGTTGAACCAATCTCTTTATCCAGTAACTACTAAGTACTTTCTAGGTTCTGAAAACCGTGCTTAGAGATGCTACTGAAGAGACTGCAGTCAGTGAGAGAACGATGTTTCCATAGTCACAGAGCTCAGATTCGAGTGGGATAAAATGATGAATCAACTGCCGGTTATGTAACAGTTAGCAGCCACTTCCAAATTTTGCCTAAAAAGTGGCAGTGGAGAGTAAAATACTTTCTGCGGAAGGCAAAGCGGGCATTTCTCTGTACGTATACAAGTGTGTGTGCGCATACATGTGTGTGTGTGTGTGTGTGTGTGTGTGGTAGGGGGAGAGTGTGAGCAGGAGAAGTAGGGTGTAATGCTTTGGGAAATGTCTTTGCAATATTGTGTTTTATCATAAAAATTCAGAGAAACATTACATCCTCAATCACAGTAACAGATTTTCTCAACAGAAAACTAAATATGCATTAAAATGTTTTATCCTCCTGACTGCCCCTCACTTGAGGCCCGCCTGAACTACATAGCAAGACCCAGGCTAAAAAAACAAACAAAAAAGGCAAAAATAATTTTTTTTCTTTTCCAAACCTTTTAGTGCATTTGATAAACTAAGCAGGCAAGTCACATTTCTCCTAGGGCTCTGTCAAGTGTTTTTAACCTGGGCTAAGACGGGGCTGGGTGCGCCCTGCTTTGGAAATTCTGCAATCCCATGTGAAAAGTGCTGTCACAGAGAGCGTCCAAGCAGAGGGAACAGCTTGCCCAAAGGTCCATGGGTGAGAGACACCACTGCTTGAGAAATTAAAAGGCTTTATGCTGAAAGGAGGCATTTATGGATGTACTTGGGGAGTCAAGTGGCTGAGACAATGCTACAAAGTAACAACAACCAGATAGTGGGTGGCCTTCAAAGAAGTTAACGATTATGTGCAAAGGTTTCAAGCAAAACGTGCCCCATCAGATATGTGTTCTAGATGGACTGGCACACATGTGCTGTATGGACAACCACCTAGAAGGACTGAGGACAGGAAGGCTAGTTAAACGTGATGATCACAGGAATGACAGTGAGAGCCCTAGTTAGCACCAGAGAGTAGGGTATATGAAAATCAGATCCATCTCTGACAGAAGTCAGAGAGTTTAAATTAGGAATCCACTAGATGGGTGATAATGACATTTGCAGAGATGGGTAAGAAAAAAAAGGAACAAGGACATGGTAAGTAAGATGATTTTAGCTTTGAATTCTGAGGCACTTGTAGGACACTGGGAAGTACTAAAGGAAAACTGAAAGTAGATAAATAAGTTTGGAGCTCAGGAAAGACCTGGGACAGACACACAGATGAGAGTCAAAACACACAAAAATATTTAAATCAAGTCAGTACGTAGTAAAGCCATCCATCCAAAGAAAGTTAAGACACAATGAAGACAGAGAGGCCTTAGAAAAACCCTTAGAAACACCACAGTTTAAGGGGAAAGTTTACAACAGAGAATAAGAACTTGTGGACAGAAGCTACTAGTTAAAAAAAAAAAGAAAGAGGAGCTTCAAGGAAAAAGTGGAAGACAATATTCAAAGCTGCAGGGATTAAGAAAATACTGAAATTCATTGATAATAACCTACCACTTTTGTCTGTAACTCACTATTATTTGTCTATTTGTTTTCCTGAGAAAATATCTTGTAGATAACAATATGTAAAAC